TCAGTAGTTCTCAATCAGTGGGTCTCGACCCTTGTGTGTGGGGGTGTCAATGATCCTTTCCCAGGGGTTGCTAAATACCACCAGAAAACACAGATATTTACATCATGATTCATAACAGTAGCAAAATTAAAATTATGAAGTACCAATGAACATTAGGAATTGTATTAAAGTGTAGAGCATTAGGGAAGGTTGAGATGAATGGTTCTTTTTCCCTTTTGCTAATTCATTTTTTGCCTCTACTATGAATATTTAACTACCAATTAAATTATTGGAATGAATGAACATATTCCCTTATGTTTTTGTATGATCAAGAAGAAAAGTAAATATTTTGGATGACTGTTACCATTTTTCCCCAATGTGTGACGTATCAGTTATAGAAAATAGAAAAGCAGAAGGGGACTTAATGTGCTGAGAATACCAGCTGACACTGAATTAGAGTTCATCACAATCTTTTAGAACTTTCTTTTTATTTGACCATTAATCTCTGTCAATGCATTTCTAAGGGTGTGGATATGTTCATGTAATGTTAATCAAGTTTGGGAAGAAATAAATTTTGGAAGAAACTGCTTAAAATCTGCTCTATCATTAGATCATTTCAGTGTGTGGAGCCATTGCCTCCTTAGGAACACTTACAAAGCAAAATTATGAGCTGTGGTAGACCAGACCCAAATACATCATGCCTAAGATGCTCTGGACACCCAAATTTAAGAAAACAAAAAACAACAACAAAAAAACCAACTTGACATTTAGTTTGCCTTCAACTACCTTTAAATTAACAAACCATTTACTCTTAGAATAAAAGTTGAAAGGCAATTTTTTTATTTTAAAATTCAAATAATTAGTTAAAGATATTGATTCCAAGTTTAACAATCACTCCTGAGCTTATAGTTTTTACCTGTGTATTAAAAAGTAGTTATTGGAGTAACTTAAAGTTTAAAATTATTTTTAGATGTTTTTATTTTATGTGATTGAGTGTTTCATATATACAGGTCATGTATGCACACTGCTCTCAGATGTCAGAAGACAGCATCAGATCCTCTGGATCTGGGGTTACTTACAGATAGCTGTAAGCCATCATGTCAATACTGGAAACCAACCCAAGGTCCTCTGCAAGAGCAGCTATTGCTCTTAACTACTAACCCATTTCTTCAACCCTTGCTTAGTTTTATTTTTTTAAAGAAAATAAACAGGATTATATTATTTGAATAAACCACATGTCTGAGAGACACATTTAAATAATCCATTTATATTCAGCTATTTTAATAATCTCTGACAATTTACTCTTCTGAAAATTGTCTCTATGGATGAATGAGAAATCACATGAACCATCTGGGCTCAAATATTCTTTGTATTTTTGTGAAAAATCTGAGGAACATTTGTTCAAGACTGTTGATTTAAAGGAAGGATATATATTATCTTGATATTCTCTGTGTACTTGAATTTGGGCTTTTCCTGGTATAAGTAGGAACATTATTGGCTACTTCTCTAGTGGTCATCATTAGCAACAGTACCTATGAGTCAGGGATGCAGTTGCTTGACTCTAATGGGGAGCTGGGATTTTGCATCTCCATTTTACATTATGAATGCTTTTTATTCAGTTCTTTAAGAAGGGGGACTTCTGACAAAGTGGAAATCCTTATGTCTTAAATGTTATCCATGTCAGGGAGGACACACACAGGACAAATAGATGACTTGGGAATGTAAAATGAGAGAGCATATGGAAAACTCTCATCTTCTGTGGGATTTGGAACTAACTGACACACAGAGAGACAAGCAAGGTAGTTGCAAGTGGTGTTCTCACAGATACATGTTTATGCATCTGGGTCAGCTGGGGGAGCAGACATATTTAAGACCTTATATCTGAAAAGCCTTTGTCTCTGCAAATTGTGTACCATCTCTTAAAGGAATGTATGGGTATACTTAGGGGCCATTTGCTAAGGACAGGAAAGATATAGACTGTTGCTTTTCACCAAAGGGCCTTATGAGATTAACCCCAAAGTTAAGGCTATGGCATTGACCAACATAACAATTTCAGTGTAACACTTTTCAGAATTAAATGGCATCACTGATTTTTTTTTGCAAAATTTACACTCATGATTGCAAACTTACCCAAGTCATTAAAGAGGAGTAAGTAAGTGATGAAAGGTAAATAAGTGTGCTTGTACTCCTAGTGGGAGGAGGATGGTGAGTCCCACATTAGCTTGGACTGCGTAGGAAGACCATGCCTCAAAAAGGAAAGGGAAAAACAAAGGTACTTAAGATATTGAACTGCTAGGGATGTGGTTCAATGGTAGCATGGTTTCCTAGTACATTTGTGGCCTGGGTTCATCCCCAGCACTGCAGGGCAAAAGAAACCCCTACTTACTGCAAATGGAAGCCTTTCTCTTGATGGCAGGAAAACCAGTTGAGAAAGGTGCAAAAGAAAAGAGAAACCTAGGTTTCTTTTCCTCCTTTCTCTTTGAACGTTCGTTTGTATACAATGCAAATATATTTGCATGTATTTCTGGATCATTTCCCCTAAGATGTTGACAGATACCTTCTAAGAGCAAGATTCTTTTGCTTGATTACAGGACAGCAATTCCAGCAGAGAAACTCAAACCTTGTACGTTACTTTTTCTTAGATTCCCCCCAGTAGTCCCAATGATGTCCCTTGTGGCTATCACACACCCTCTCCCTGCCACCCACCCAAGAGGGTTTCATACAGTATCTTCAGTCTTCCCGGATGACTCATGTTTAATTTCCTTTTAATCTGGGTTGGTTTCATAGACTTCTTTTGTCGTTTATGACATTGACTTTGTTTTTAGAGGCTTAGAATAATTTTATAGAGTAGCCCTTATTGAACTGATCTGTTTTTGTGTGTTTGATATCATGACTGTGAAGAAATAAGAAATACATAAATGAAGAGCTAAGCTGAAGAAGAGATGTGAGAGACAAGGCTAAAATGAAGGGAGGGTGAGAACTAGACACTTATTTCATGAGAAAATATTTATGCAAATGAGCTTCAGACTTGTGTTTGGAATCTATAAGCCAGTGTCTGGAATGGTAGAAGAGGGAACACAGATTTGCTGAGGTTTAGCTATATCTAACTATACAGGGAATTTTGTTTATTAAAGCAAGGGACCAGACCTTGAGAATTTTGGTGGAGTTTCAACTTCAATTTAAAATCCAGTTGTAAAGCACACACTCATTCTTAGTTTGTGCATACACTGCAGCAATTTATTTTACTTAATATATACAAGCCAGTTTCTTTGATGCCATCTGGCTCTCTCCTGTGTGTTTCTTCTAAACCTTTCAGCAGAGTCAGAAAATTATAAATGACCTTAAGAAGCTAATGGAGATAAATATAGGCGCTTGTCAGGTATATTAGAATTTAGTGTTTTTAAAACTTCCAAAGCAGGACCTCGAACTGTATCTCAAAAGCAAAAGTCCCGTGGAATTGGTTCAGAAAGCAAGTTTTACTTTGAAGCTGTCAAGAAAAAGTAGTCGATGGTGGTGGGGAAAACAAAAACAAGACAGACATAATGGTCAAGTATCAAAAGCTGGGAATAGCTGAGCCTTTCTTTTAGCCAGCTCCAGTGTCTGCCTCAGTAGGTTCCTACTGCACTGCTAGCCCCCAAAGAAGTGAGGTTGTATTTACAGGGGTACTGCTAAGAAACTTCAGCATTCAAAGATTTGGCTTTAATTCCCATGCTTGCTTCTGACAGTGTGCGGGTTTGCCTCATAAGGGCAGAGTTGTAGAAAAACAAAGAGCCCTAGTGGGCAAGGTATCCATTTTCTGTTCATGTGTAAAGTGACCTTGATTATGTCCCTGGACTCTGGGTCCTTTACCCAGGGAGTAATTATGCACTGGGCTGGTGAGGCAGAGTCTGCTTTTACTTGGGTTTGTTCTCTGGGATTTCCTGTTAATTTCTGAACTGAGCAGAAACGTAGACTTTGTCGCTGGCCTTTGTAAGACTCAGCGGAAACTATGAGCTGTTGGGGTCTTGGGTTCTGTAATGTCTGATCATTAAGTAAATTTTTGTGTGTAGATGAAACGCCATATGTTTATTCTTTAATCAGAAATATGTTATTATAAAAATCAAATATACCTTGTAGACACTTATGACAAGCCACCACATATACCTGTCACTCAGCTTCATGGTTGTCTAGCTTCCTGTTTACTCCGCTTTATTAGTTACTCGTTACTGTGTGATTTTATCCATACACATTCTAGCACATAGGCAGTTTTGTATAAATCACAATGGTATGTATCCTTTGCAAGATATTTTAGCACGATTTAGCTATTCACAGCTTCTGTCCTGAAGATTCATGCAGTGTCCAGGACATGGCAGCAGTGGGCACCTGGAGTGCTAACTCACTCTCTCTGGGGTAGCAACTGCAGGCCCAGTCAGGAGTGATGTTGCCGAAGGACTTGTGTCTTACAGAATTGGAGGGGGCCAGGCACCTGTGATGCTTAATGAGATGAGCTTGATTCTACTTTCTACAAATGTCACAACCAAGAGGAAAGAAAAAATAGACTTAACAGCATGTACTCTGAATTCAGTATCTATCTGATTGGGCATGATGCTCCCGGTGCCTTCATACCTATTTATGTGGGTGTGTGATATAGCCGGGGGCCATGCAGCTCCAAAGACAAAGCCTGGCCCCATCCCCATCTTAGCATTGCATTTGTTAAACCAAGGCAGTAGCTACTGAGAATATGTTTTAGGAATGAGTTTATCATTCAGGTGTCCCCCCAACCTCTGCTCTGTGCTGGATTTATTTTATTTGGGCATTTTATTTTTCTCATAGTTGGGATCTGTTTTGGCCTACTCATTTAAATTCATTATTACTATTATTATTATTATTATTATTATTATTACTATTACTATTATTATTTTGCCTTGGTTAGTAAAACTTTTGGTAATGGGACCTCATCAAGTTCACTCAACATTAATATGCTTCCTTTTGAAAGGCTGAATGATCATGGATTTTTTTTTCTTCTCCCTTTCTTTTTACAGCCTTGCCTCCCCGATTGAAAGAGATGAAAAGCCAGGAGTCAGCTGCAGGCTCCAAGCTAGTGCTTCGGTGTGAGACCAGTTCTGAATATCCTGAACTCAGATTCAAATGGTTTAAGAATGGGAGTGAGCTGAACAAAAGAACTAAACCACAAAACATCAAGATTCAGAAAAAGCCAGGGTGAGTCCAGTACATTTAGTAATAGAATCTATGTCAACAGCGATAGGATAATAGAGGACAGAAAATTATATAGACCCTAATATTGAATTTACTATAAATTGTGATATATGATGAATGGAAAATTTTTTTTATTGTATAGTGTTCAGAGATTGTCATAGCAAATAGGAAAGAACTTGGGAGTTTATGATTCTTACAACTTTTGAATGAAGAAATGGGAAGCTTGAAAGCAAGCTGTAGGAGGTTGGATGGTGGAATTAGTGGTAGCTAATGTAATAGCCATGAAGCATAAGATTCAGTATCCTTAAAATAAGACAAGTGATGTTTTAGTGTTAATGTCTAATGCAGTCAAAATGCCAGTGCCATTATAAAGCTCAACAATTACCTCCATTTATGGAATGTAATGCAGTGAGTTTATATTATTTTCAGACAAAGATTTAACACATATAATTATGCCTTATATAATAATCATTTCATCAATGATTCTATTAAAGTCCACTGACACCATAGCATATTTAGACAATGTAGTAATCTTTGGTCACAAGAACCTTATATTTTCTACCTCCTTGAGCATGGCCATGTGAAACCTGTGATACCTCAGTGGCTACATTAGATGTCTATTCTGAGCTAATATAGCTCCCAGTATCTCAGCAATAGTCACTTCAGTGTACTTCCTTCTTTAAGAATTGTTTCCACTGAACTGAGAGATGGCTTAGCAGTTAAAAGCACTGACTGCCCCTCCAGAGGACCTGGATTCAGTTTCCAGCACCCACATAACCGCCTACAACTCTTGTAACTTCATACTAGGGTACCCAATATCCTCACATAGACAAATGTGCAGGCAAAACACCAATGCACATTAAAAAGAAAAAAAAAGAATTGCTTTCACAAGGACTAAAATAGGTTTTGAGGAAATCAGGGAAGAGGATAGCTTGTTATATATGTTTTTCCTCTTAGCAATTCATTAATTGATATGACACCTTTAATGTGGTTCTCAGCTCTGAGAGGTATTATTCATTGACATCTCAGAAGACTTCTGAAGACCAAGCTTTGATAACAAAAGCAACTGCAGAAGACTGCCCCTTCTTCCTTTTGATTTCATAAGCTGTCTACCAAAAAGTTGTCACACACATGAACAAGGGAGAACAAAATGATTCTGAATGTAATTGAATGTTATCTGTCTAATTACTCTGATGATAATAATTAGGGACCTTTTTCTGATTTTTATGGCTTTATTAATTAGACCACTTGCTCCTGTTATTGATCATGTCAGCAACATCTGTTGATTTGGAAAGATAAAGTGTGAGAAAGGGGGCTGGGTATCACATTCTGCAGCAGCTGGTAGTTCAGAGATAGAACACATAGTTACTGTAAAGAGCCAACACACCCTTTTAACATAAGGTTGCTTAGAAACAACAATAGAATTCCAACATATAGTAAAGGCAGATGAATAGTTGTTGTGCAATGACTAATTTTGTAGATTGGAAAACTGAGAGTCAAGCCTGGTACACACCTTTAAGTCCAGATTTAGGAGCCTGAGGGAGCAAAATCACCACATGTTTGAGGCTAGCAGAGCTACATAACATGATCCTGTGTAGAAAAAAAATTAAAAAGAAAAGAAAAATTGACCATCAAACATATTATATAACATTTTGCAGAGGGTCATGGATCTTACAAAACTCTCGAATTAAGCACAGATTTATCTATTTATTTTTGATTTATTATGCCATGCTGTCTTTGAAAGTAGGAATCATGCAGATAGGAGGAGAAACAGCGGGAAATTTGAAAAGATGAGCATGATTCTTAATGGAGGTTAAGACAAAAGGTACTTGTAGATACTGGGTTGAACACTTTTTGCTGTTTGTTTCATCAATTAGGTAAATTAAGTTATATATACATTCCAGGTAACTTCTCATTTGTAGCTGTGAGCTGACCCAGTGATAGCAGCAATATTTAAGAGTTTAGGAGGGGCTTTATGCAAGGGATGTGTCCAAATCTCAAGGTAGAAGACCTCATTTCTGTGCATAGGCCAGCCAGTCCTTTGATTGTATAGAGACAATTTAGTTAAATCCTAATAAAACATGGGAATTCCAGCCTGTGTGCTGAAACAAATAAAGTTGGAGCCGGTACTCGAACATGTTGATGTGGACTGAAGGGGAACAGAAACTTTTTGAAGAGCATATGTACTCTATCGCATGTGGAAAGAAGCAAGTAAAGCTGGACAAATAAGGTAGAAAAGGAACAAAAATGTGAGAAGACTAACCTGAGTGTGTTTCTGAAGAGGACACATGTGCACTTAAAGGCTTATTCAGTTGTCTGGCTGGCATAACATATAAAGTAGCATTAGCATTCAGGAAGGCATTTTCATATTGGCTGCATAGGTCCAGACAGCCCTGAGCACTGTCTACATACTAATATAATTCCCACCCACATCAGAAAGGCCAACGTTCAGAAATTATTCACTTTAATTCCAGCCTCTATGCAAAGAAGTAAATGGGGAGGAATTTTTTCAGACTATGTGGCTATAAATTGTTCTTGGCACAAAAAGAGCTTATATATTTGAACTAAAAATAAGATATGCTTTGTGACGGAGTAGGCAGCTTCTTAGGAGGTCAGCTCATCGATTTTCACAATCAGAAGAGTTGCCATTTCTAAAACTCTTCAAAATTAGTGTTGTCAGATTTTGGAGTAGCCAACAAAATCTAAAGTTTAACCTGAGCAAAATGCTCTACTATTCTATTTATCCTATAAACAAATAGAGTGAATATTATTATTATTGCACTGTTTTAAAAACAATCACCCTCTTGAGAATGAACTTAAGTTTCTTTCTGTAGGTTGTAATGTTAATAAATAATCCTAAAATTTAAATACAACTGTTTTCAATGTTTGCGTTAATTTCACAAGTACTTGTAATTTTATTATATGAAGCCAGAATACAGAAGTTAGGATCAGCTCAGGCTATCAGTAAAACCTGTTGTTACTTTTCATGTTCAAGTACACATAATACTTTTGTTATCTGGATCCTGAGACTAGGAATATCTTTTGTTGATTGGCTGGTCACATGACTTAAATTTACTCTTTGGTTGTGAACAACCAAGCAGAGGTGAATTTTAATTTGTGGTGTAGGATTTCCCTGGGAGTTTGTTTAAATCAAATGTTGACTCTTGCAGTCTTTAGTCTAGGCCTTTTTTCCTCTTTTATTTTCTAGATTATATTTGGCAGCTAAAATTTCCTTTTAATCCCTTCGTGTTCTGAAAAGATTTCATACCAAATAGCTGTTTCTGTCTTTGTGTAAACTCATGTTCCTCTTGGATCCTGCCTCCTCTTAGAAACATCTTTCCTGAACGTTCTTCCTATGAGTTTGAGTTCACATTTAAGCCCCTGTTTGTTTTATTTGCTAAGCCATGTGTGGGACCGATTAAAACAAATGGGAACCACTCTGAGTTGTGTATCTGTTTGTCTGTCTCTGTTCTTGTTGTCTGTGCCTGGTGGATAATTAGGATCAAGAAAACTAGTTGAAGGCTTTGGGCCGTCAGATTGGCCTCCCTGAAGTATCTGGTCTGGATTAGCTTTGTGAAAGGCAAACTTCTATTTCTTGTCAGTTTCATACATGTTTATATAACCCCAGTTTTGCTTCAGCTTTTCATTTCAGCTCATATTTTAATTTGATTTGAAAATGATTTTGCTTATTCAAAAACCCTTTTGAAGATTTTACTGGTACTTGCTTTGGGGCTGGTGAGATGGCTCAGTGTGATAAAGGTGCTTGCCACCAAGCCTGGTGACCTGTGATAAACCCTAAGAACTTATATAAAGGTAGAAGGAGAGAACCAACTCTGGCAGATTGTCCTATGACTTCCACACATGGGAGGTGGAAAAAGCCCCCCTACACACAGAGAGAGATGAATGAATGAATGAATGAATGAATGAATGAAAGAAAGGATGTTCTGTTGTTTTCAGTGGTCACATTTTAGTTGAAGAGCTCTATATCAGAAAAGTTCATGTGTAGTCCTTTTCTTAGCTGCAGAAGCACTTTGGCAGGTCATGGGAATGGGATGTAAGGAATCCCATTTTCCCTGTATAATGAGTGGTCATTTTGTATGGCTTATGTGGACATTCAGTGTGGTGCCTGGTTCTGCTGTCTAAGAAGTTCCTCTTGTCTTCCTGCATCCTTGTCACAGACAGCAGGTTGACATCTGAAACAGAATTGAAGACAGGCATGCATGCACACACAGGCACACCCACACATCTACACACTTATGAGCTACATGCATGGAGACCTTGTAAGACCGGGCTTGGCAAATGGCTCTTGAGACTTGCCAATGGAAAAACAAAAGAAAACAAACAAAAACTCTTTCATAGATTTCTTATCTGGTTCTGGATTCTCAAGATTCTACCTTGTAAGACTACCTTGTATTTTCCCTCTTTTTTTTTTTGTTTCTGTGGGGCTTGGTTTTCATAGGACACCCATTCTTAAGTCACTTCTTTTTCCAGGTAGCAGTCTAGTGATGCATTTAAAGGACATCATGTTCCATTCCTAAGTGCATGCTTGCAGGACTTTTGTTTTTTTTTTAATTTTTTTAAATTTATTTATTAGTTCTAGTTAGGGAACAAGCTTGTTTCACATGTAAGTCCCTTATCCCTCTCCCTCCTCCCACCACCATCCCTCCTCCCCCACCCCCAGCCTACCCCCCACCCCATCCACCCACCACTCCCCAGGCAGGGCAGGGCCCTCAATGGGGGCTCTGCAAAGTCCACCGAATCCTCCTGTGCTGAGGACTGTTTCTTTTATAGAATTCTTTCTCTTGTTAGGGTTTCTAGACTCTCTCCAACTGCAATCACCTTCTTCTAAAGTCCTCTAGTTAATGACTTTGTTCATCAGATGTCACTCAAAAATATACTTCAGTGTTCCAGCTATGACCCAGCCAGTTCCACATGTACTGGGGACTCTTAGCCAGTTTGATTTTGTGTTCTACTTTAACATTAATCTCACCCAAGAGTAAATGCATTTTTCCTTCTTTTTCTCCATTTTTGAAAAAGTGCCCTCTTTAAAAGGACGGTGTTAAAAGATAGGCCTTTTGAAAGCCCTCTTTTCTCTGTGCATTACAGTTGATGCATCTCTTGTCTCTTGTGCAGTTGTACACTGGTTCTGAATCTGGTTGAATCTGTTACACATGTCTCGATTAAGCTGAATCTTGGTCTCAGACCACTGATGTTCTATCCTGGATTCCCAGGGGCGGTCTCTGAAGCAGCAATTATATGGTCACATGTAATGCCTACCATGGAACTGCACCTTAGAGGCTTGTATAAAGCTACTGGGAAGTACTTATATAAAGAAACCCTTTTCTGTTTAGTGAAATATTTTTTGAACATAGACTAGTGCCCCACCCCACCCCCAATCCCTCTGTCCATCATAGCATTTGATTATATTACTTGGGTTTGTATTCCAGGAAGCATAGGCCAGGCCTATTAGGAGAATTTAGATTTTCAAACTATCCTTTAAAGATTATGCCAACTGGAAATGTAATTACCCTGTTTCTTATAGTTCAATCCAGTTCAATAGTTAAAATATAAATTGTGCAGGGTCAAGAAAGAGGTCTTTATATACAAGTGTAGGATTGTTTCTAGATTGACAAATTGGGAAGATTGGGGCTTCTTAGTTGCTGTACAGTCTTGGAATATTACTTCAGTGGTCTGACTTTAGAATTTTGAGTCTTAACATTTAAAGTCTCTGGTTTTTGTATTCAGAATTTGCTCTTCTTCTGATACTAAAGATCAGGATATTTTCTAGTTTTCTTCATAATTTGTTGTTACCATCTGTTGTTTCATGATCAGACAGCAAAATTCTGTCTGAAAACTTTGCTGTGTTTCCAAGTTGAAAAGCCTTATTATAGTCACATGCTTATGTTTCTTTTCTTCAAAATTATCTACCATGAAGGAAACCTATCATAGATACACCAAATATATACAAAGCTGATAATCCATTAGAAGCTGATCAATCCCAAAGCCTGGCGTGGTGTCAGAAGAACCTGAGAAAGTGATAGTCTAATACTGTTGCATTTTGATAATTTTAGAGGCTGCTATGTATCATTAATACCTAATATCTACTTGTCACAATGTTTGCTGTGAACATGGTTCATTTTTGTTTTTAGAGGTGCTTTAGGGAAAGTTTTCTTTGAATAGCCTCTGTGGTAAATGCATGGTTATTTATTCCTTAAACAGTTCTGGCTGGTCCCATTACTTAGATAAATAAGGCTATTACTAGTTAATTTTTCTGACAACTTCTGTGGACCATTATTTTACAAAAGTGTGAATAGGTGTGCTATGTGAAAGAAAAAGAGTTTGTTAAATAAGCCAGGAGAAGCTAAATAATATGTATTATTTTCCTGTATATTCAGAGACGTTAGTTATAGTAAAGGTTCTGAGAAATTTGACAGGGGGCTTTAATGTTTCCCAACATGTTTGAATAGAAACCATTTGTTATGGTTGCACCCACCAGCCCCCCCTGCCCCGGAAGTTTTACTGTTGTTTTATTGGGAGTTATAGCTAGTGGAGGTAACTTCCCAGCTAACAAATTGACCTGACCATGCCTGCCCTGGGTCTGAACCTTCTTAAACTGTCACTGCCTGTTTCACATTGCATCTCACTTCCTTCTGTCTGCATTGGGGATGTTAGGTCCTGGGATGGCATAAGTAGAAACATCCCAATGTTTCTTTGACCCATTTACACATGTATCCAGTATTGCCTGAGGGCATTCCAGGGGCCACACAGTATGATGTGACAGTGTGAGGGCATCAGTAGTTTTAAATTACAGACTGCCTGCTCTGAAGTATATGTGCTGTATCTGGGTAGGAGACATAGTGAGAGAACTGTGGTAAAAAGTGTTCACAAGAGTGGCAGTAGGGATGGCAAGGGTCTAGATAAGGCAAATGACCTGTTGCATGGTTTGATCATGAATAGTTTAACAAAGGGGTTAGCACTGAAGATGGTCTTTGAAGATCAGTAAAATTATTAAAGTAGAAACACAAGACACTTTAAGGGGAGGGAAATTATGACCTGTAAGAGGATATAACATGAGGCGTTTATGTGGGATTTTGATTGATGCTGTCTACTAGGCTGGAGAAGAGGAATTTTGGAACCGTATTTTCTACCTGATGGTTATTACCACGTGACGAATGACCATAAATATGGAGAAAATAGCAAGCATGAAAGCAACCACAAATGTTGCCATTTTCCCTTCCTGTCCTCTTTTCTCCCCATTGTCTACTCTACAGGGCATGACTCAGAGATGCCAAGCTAGAATATAGAACAATGCTTTAACAAATAGTCTTTGTAAGCCCAGAGTGGTGGCTCATACCTATAATCCCGCCACTTGGGAGACCAGGTCAGGAGATTTGCCATGAATTCAAGCTATCTTTGTTGTAATGAGTTTTGGGTCAGCCTGGGCTAGTCTGGGAAGCTCCTTCCACTTCCATTATATAAAGTCCTTTGCAAACAGTGAGCCAATCCTAGTAGTTCTGAATTTTTGTAGCCCAGAGACAGCATAAATTACAGGCCATGTACAACAGTGAAGGAGAGAGGAGTGTACATCCCAATAGTATCCACATCTACATTAAAGAAGTGGTGATTATTGACTTAATGTTGAAAGGGTTATAAAAGTGTGCTACTGTAGCAGGAACATTTATTCCAGTGTCAAGAACCATTTGGATGACACTTTGTGTCCAGCAATGGCAATCTTCAGGGAGGACAACTTTCCTATCTCTAGAAATGATGAATCTACTTCATAGAAATTACCTTGATTTGGTGTTACTCCATGGAGAAGCATTCTTATCTATTGTAGCCTCCATTAACTGTTATTCTCTATGGGCTTATAAGAAGCCATTTTAAATATTTTTTCTCTTCTCAAACCTCTTAAAATTTTTTTTAGATTATAATTTCCTCCCTCCAATCCCCAAACCCTTTCAATTATCCTTTCCCACTCTCCTTAAAATTCATGGCCTCTTTTTTTGTTATTATTATAGCATTCATATATGTGTCTATATACATGTTCCTGAATATAACCTGATCAGTTCATATAACGTAACTTGTATGTATGTTCTCAGGGTGACATTAAGATCTAGGGAGGAAAGAAAATTTGCCAGCTAAGATGGTCAGCAGTGTTAGCAGAAGAATGAAGAGTACACTCAGGGAGAACCCACTTTATTTACTATCTTGTGATAAAATGATATCATAGGCAGTTTACTGTGATACCATATGTTTGGTCTGACTGAGACATACAAGTGAACTGGTGTGATGGCAAGTGATATTTTAACATTATATGTATAGGGTAGGAAGGGAGACTTTGAGAACTCTGAACTCAGGAAAGTGTGTTTTGTTATTTACCAATGCTGAGGATGAATTTCTGCAATGCACTTACACTCCTTTGGTCTCGATCTTACAGGAAGTCAGAACTTCGAATTAACAAAGCCTCACTGGCTGATTCTGGAGAGTACATGTGCAAAGTGATCAGCAAGTTAGGAAATGACAGCGCCTCTGCCAACATCACCATTGTTGACTCAAATGGTAAGTCACCTGTGACCTGCTGTTTCTCAGTCTGTGAAAGGAAGGACTGAGATGTGTTAGAGATCCATGGGTTAATGTTATTATGAACAAGTAAAAAACTTTGGAAAGGAAGCCAAACATTATAGGCATCTTTTGTGTCCTCAGAAATAGTCTTTCATCTGTGTGGTGATGTAGACTGTATATGTATATATGCACACACTCACGCGCGCGCGCACGGGCACACACACACACACACACACACACACACACACACACACACACACACACACCTGCTTAAGTTGGTTAGAAGGGACAATCAAGTCTTCAGTCCTACCAATTAAAGGATACAATTACATAGTTTTATATACATAAAAAATCAGTATATATATACATAGCAAGTGTACTTATATATGTATACATACACATGAATGAATGCAGGTATTTTTATTTATCTGTAAGTTCTGACAAGTTTTAATGTTCCAATGTGCATTTTTTTTTCAAGACAGGGTTTCTCTGTGTAGCTCTGGCAATACTGGAGCTTACTTTGTAGACCAGGCTGGTCTCAAACTCACAGAGATCCGCTTGCCTCTGCCTCCCAAGTGCTGGGACCAATGTGCATTTTAAAAGATGACATCAAGCTAATAGAAAGTTAGACATATTGACTTTTTAGAGCTACAAGTTTTGAAATTAGGAACACCTGAGAGGCAGTGAATTTCCTACTTTGTAATCTTCAGGCTTCTTACTGAGCCTCCTGAGAGCTGTTCCAGGGAGAATTTGCTTAACAGATGAATTTGTTGGACACAGGAAGTTACTACCTCCCAGTTAACAACTTCCCTTAGCTCTCTTAGGAAATCAGAAGGTGGGAGCTGCTGGCTTGTGTCTTCTATAGCTCAGTGGCCCGACCTCTGAAGGTCATATCTAGGAACTGATGAGAGCCTAGCGATGTTCTTCAAACCTTGGAACTGTCTGGTGCCATTTCAAAAACCTTACTATGTCTATTGTGGCTTGAAATCATGAATTTTTATAAGCCCAATCCTGATTTCTCTGCTTCTTGGTAGAGATGAGAAATTATCTATGGCAGGAAATGGTCTCTTGGAGTAATGAGGTAAAAATGTTTGCCAGATCATCATGGGAAGAGTAAGCCATGGTAAGGTTAATTCTGTAAGAGACAGAATTAGTTTGTATCTCTTGATCCTTACATGATACAATATGTCTGGGAAAAGGGAATAGAGTGAAAACTATGGAGCAGACTCAGGAAAATCCAGGTTAGTGCCTGTTCTTTTCTGTACTTTCCAAGGAAGTTCCACAGTGGTGTAATCAAAGTCTATTGCTTTTCACTTTAGATACTTCCCTCTCTTGGGAGTAACGGGAAACCGATGATAAGCCGTTTCAATTACTAGTTTTAGAAGCCAGGCTTAGGATACTCAAAATGCAAACGCCATTTAACATTTATATGAGCAAGTACAAAGCCACTTTGATTTTGTTTCTAATCAACACAGGTTAGGCAGGGTGTTTTGCTATTACTTAATTCTACATAGAATTTTCTAGAATTAAATAGAAATTAATTTAAGAATGAATTAATTTCAATAACTTACTCTTTACTGTGGTGTAGGTCATGATTTTTGAAAACAATGATTTGTCTTTTTCCTTTTTTGAGACCATCACAATCTCTATGCCATGTTTTGAAAGTTTCTCTTCATTGTGTTTTAATATGTAAAGCGCAATTATGGTAAGCTGTGAATTATGAGTGTGATGTCCAGGTTGGATTTTATAGATATACATATTATATATTCCAAGATAAATAAAATTAGAATGAGTGTTATCACTGCTTTTAGTATGATCGTACTGATGATTTCATGGCTTCTTGTTTACAGGATAAAACAGGGATAATCTACCACCATGTTAATCCTGGAAAAAAACCTTATAGGGTCCTTTTATATTATTGTTAGTTTGCAGGTAGCAAAAGGTTGCTAACACACATTTTCACAGGTCTCACATAAAAGAGCCATCCAATTAATTGTAAAGTCATGGCCTAGTGCTCAGCTTGGAATATATAGTACTGATAAATTTTGCTTTTGAGAGATGGGGGTTAGAGGCATTTATGATATTGAGTCTTTTTCTTAACAAAAAATAAGGTTCATGGACTATTTTAAGTATTCTTTGTGATATCCTTTTGCTTGGTTGTTTTTATGACAGTGCCTGTAGCCCAGTTAGCCTTTGAACTTCCTTGACTGTAGAGGATGATATTTATTTGTAATCCATTTGCCCCTGCCTCTGGAGTGTTGAGATTGTAGGTTTGTGCCATTATGGCCAGTTAATATAGTGGCTTTGGAGATTAAAAAAAAAAAAAAAAAAAACACAGACCCTGTTCATGTTAGATGAACACTCTGCCAACTGAGCTACATATCCAGCCCAGTCCTGACTCTTAATCACTGAAAGCATCAGAGTGGGAGAGTGCAGAACCCCATAGCAGTGTGATATGAGAAGAAGGTCATCGTCCTTCAACCCTCTCAAAGGTAGGGACTATCTAGAAGGATTTAGGGGAAAGGAAGAACTTGATTAGAATAGGTTGTATGAAATAAGTTTTTTTCCCATGAAAGAAAATAAACCATCTTAGAGTTTATTTAGAAAAGCACTAGATAGCAAAAGGTGACATAAATCTGCTTTTACTTTCTAGTACACAGTAGCTCACTCTGTATCTGAATGTGTGTGCACAGAGAGTTAAGGCAGATTCTTTCACTTGTCAAGAATAGGGAGGAGAAGGTTGTTAGAGAGAGGGAGTCTAGGTAAAAGAGCTTGACCTTGGGGAGATGGACTTGTATACAGGCATCACAAAGAGCTTAAACAACATGATCATGTGACTGTTTTCTAGTTTTTCTACCTTTAAATTGCTTGATGTTTTGAAACTTGCAAAAACTTAAAACGAACTACTGTTTTCTCTATCCCTGAGTGTCTTGCTTTCATCTATGCTTCTTTGTAATTCCTAACTAACTGGTTCATGCTCTCCCACTTCGATAGATTCACCTTCAGGCTTTCTTTAAGATACTCTTTAAGATTTAACGCTTTCCCATGGTTGTGCCCTGGTCTCCCAACAAAATTTGTGCTAGCAAGGATATGATTAGCAGGGATTGTGCCATACCATGCCATAAGACCCAGAGAATTTACAAAGGATATAGCCCTGTCCACTTCTTAACCAATGGAGGTGAAGCCCCACCCCCTTGTGGCTATGTTGATCTATTTAGATGAGCACCTGGATGTAAATTAAATAATCAAAATTTAAATAATTCCTTGTGCTTGTTTTTATTTGCTTCAATGAGGTGGTGAGGAAATTGCCAAAATATTTAAGCACATAGAAAAGAACTCATGCATAGTCACCATTTATTAAGATACATTTGAAAAATTTGTTTTCCTTTTGCCTTTTCTGATGCCTTTCCACTACTTTGTGGAACTGGAAAAAATGTTTTGCATGTGTAAACGTGTATAAACCTATGCAACCTGCTGCTGTCTAATGTTGATTTTTATAGAAACATTATGGCAGGTCATAATCTTCCTGTGGTGAATTACAAATTGCATTTTGGCAGGGGAAAAGGCCACACATAATTTTCCCTCAGCCCATACACTTTGGGCTCATTTTTATCTAGTTATTTGGCTTCGTCTTTCTCTAAGAAATCCTAATTTCACAATTAATTCTTAGCTAACAAGCTCTAGGGAAACAGTTGGATATTAGAATAAAGGGACAAAGAAGAGAACTACAGACATAATTGGTTTGCACATTAATTAAGTAATGCTATCTTTTCAAGGGTTACTATGGGAGAATGTACAACTACTCAATCATATCTTGGGTTTTCTTTTTTAATCAGGAGAAAACTTATATAAGATTCAAGCTCCCATAGGAATAATTGGGCTCATAGCCATTGCTGTTCCATTTGAGAAACAGAAAAAAAATACTTTTAATAAAGTTTGAATAGCTTATCAATTAGTATTTAAAAATTTTGGCACATATGGGTCATGGGCTTAGTTAGCCCTTATCCCCTTTCCATAACAGTGTTGTGGGAAATATGTTGGTGAACAGCTTGTAGAGTCACACTGCGAACAATATCAAGCAGGTTTATTTTTACTTTTATTTATGTATCAATTATTTTAAGACAGTATTCCACTGTGCAGCCCTGGCTGGTCTAGAGCTTGCTATATAAACCAGATTGGCCTGGAACTCAAGGAGAACTGTGTGCCTTTATCTCCTGACTAATTGCTGGAGTTAAAGACATGTACTACCAAGCCTGGAGTCAAACAGATTTTAAATGTTTTTGTCATTCTCCATGTATATTGCATTATGTAGGGTGCTCATAAAAACTAATACATATCAATAATAATATTAGAATATGACAAATCATGCATAAAATGCCTACAGCATGTATTAGTTTGAAAGCTTCTCAGCTGCTTATATACTTATTCAGAACAATAAAAGTTCAGATATTCAAAGATGCTTCTGAGTTCATGTTTTATCCTTGTTAGGAAAAAAGACGTGCACCCACTTTTATAATGATTTTTAATCCCAATCTTTGTATACATAGTAGAGACCTAGAAGTTTGGGGAAAATAAAGAATTATGTAATATATGTTAAATCTGCACAGACATCACACACGTGTATGTGTTCTCCTGATTATTTATGTTCTTATTATGCTCAGGAACAAGTCTCATACAAGTCATACATTCATATTCATGAGAAAAATTATTTTCCAGAAGATGTGTTTCAGCCATTGCAACTTGATACTGGATTCAGTTTATTAAAATAGTTATTTAAACATGAAAAATACAGCAGGGTTATGTTTTCAGGTCTACAGAGCATGAGTTGCTCAACAGTGTTCAATCCCTGATGATTCCAGAGCCTCCCTATTTATACCATCGAGGGAGGAGACATTTGTAAGTGTAATATGCCAATGTACTACACTAAAATACACTGCTTGGCTGCTAATTAAGCAGACTGTAGGACTCAAATTTGAAAGTGTAATGTAAAAATTTTAAATCCCTAAGTGCAATAAATATAGAATTCCAATCACACTGAAAACAAGCAGGTTTTTTTGTTTGTTTGTTTGTTTGTTTAAATTCTTGATTCCTGAACACAGGGGAAAATATTTTCTGTGTCCTATTAATCAATGGGATTAACATTTCTTAATAGCAAAGATCTTTTTCAAGTATCTCTTTTTTTTAAAATATAAGTTATTTGTTAAGCTCCAATCTTTCATTTCCTCAATATTAATTCAGGAAGTATCTTTACAAAACCACAGTCATTAAAGAGGTTTTAAAGATCTCTAGGATAATTATCTAATTTAGGAAGGCTGTTATTTTTAGGAGCATCATGTGCAGGTATAACTGCTGCAACCATTTGTTACTATGAACATTTGTCTAATGCAGCATTCAATCACAAAAGGAAGTTACGGTTAACCTGTCCTCCACTCTGAGGTCTTTTTTTCTGGAGAGATTGGCTTTTTTCTTTCTTTTTAAATCTTCTTGGAAGGTCACAGTAGACAATCAGTTGGTTTGCCAAAAATAAATGTGAAGAAAATTTTGATATCAGGTTGGACTTGGGTCTTTGCCCAACCCTTGTCAGGCAATGTGGTGGTCAAGTCATTGATGCGTTCTGAAGGGCAGAAGGAGGAGGCATTTTTCAATGTGGGTGCAAGGTTTGAAAGCACTGCATTGAAAATGGTCCAGGCGTGTCTACAGAGGAACAACCATTGTGAACCTTGGATTAAAAAAAAAAGTTTCCTCAGATTACATGTTTCCAAAGAGGAGCAATTTTATTTTATTGTCTACAGCCTAACTCTGTAAAGCTACTTGTTGCTGCTTCAGGAGCAGGTGTCACCACTGGTCCAGCTGAGAAACATCCGTTCTACTGCCCCTGCATGAGAAAGTTCCAAGGAAGACATACACAAATCCCTCATACTCAAATCCCCTTTACTTTTTCCCATTTCTAGTGTGCATAAGAACTGTTGTAGGAAACTTAGATGTCATGAAAACAGCCTTAGTCTGTCAATGATTGATCTTAGAAACCTTGATGAAGAAAGATCGACCACTCACACTGACTTTGCTCTAAGAAGTTAGCATCTGGGATTTACAAAAGACACATTTCTGGTCTATGATGCTTGATATTCTCTCCCAAATCTCACATGATTTTCTTTCTGTCTTGTTCCTCAAGTTCTTTTGTCCCTGAAGAAATTCAGAAGTTGAAGGAATTTTATCATTTCAATCGATTCTTCCTCTCTGCTATACTGGTGCCATCATGGTGGTATCTGTGTTTAAAAATGATTGCACTGGTAATGAGCACATCTCACTCCATGACTAACCAGGTATTAATTTAGATTTAAAAATGATAGTGTGTATGACCTTCTAGGAGTTTCAGGCATATGTAATAATTTTTGTGTGGTAGCTGACATCACATAAGACTTGGCTTATCTTTTTCCTGCTTAAGGAAGGTGAAATTATACAACATTGGATAAATTATACATAGTCAAGGTTGAATGATTCCATCATTTTACCTTTGTATCATCCTACTATCATGAATCTTTAAAAAATATTAGAATCTAACCAACTAAAGCCAGTTTTAGGGCTAAATACTTAGCTATATAGACAGTACAAATCTCCCTTTATTACATCCTTAGAGCAATTTTAGATTTTTAAACAAGCTTCTCAGGGTAATGTTGTTCCCTACTGTGCAAGTCTATCCTTCATTCCTTCAGGGAACTACCTGCTCACATATGTCCTGTCCAGAGTAGCCAGTGTATCAGATGATAATATTCCCCCATCTCAATTAACTCTGGCAATTTGAAGAGTTCCATGCCAGAACTTGATGTTGTTTGTCAGTCTCGAATGAAAACACTGCTTGCTTTCATTTTTAAACAAAACAGTAATTTTCCAAACTCTTCAGCATTAGAAATGACCTCGGTTTGGTATGACAATGGCTTTGACGGTCTTAATTCCCCATTTCTTTTTCCTTTCCAAGAAACCCTCAGTCTATCTCTCTAGTGCGTTCTTCCTCATTCACCCCAGGGGGAGCAAACGGTTCCTCATAACTACTTAGCATAATTCATCTCATGCCCTTCCCCCACAAAAGAAGAACTATTTATTTGGACAGTCTTCATGCAGTGCTCCTTCCTCACACTCATTTGCAGTTGGAAGGCAGGCAATGGCCCCAGATCTCAGCCTCCTGCTGTACACCGTAATCGCCTGTCACCTTTTCTTTTTTGCAGAGTTCATCACTGGCATGCCAGCCTCAACTGAAAGAGCATATGTGTCCTCAGGTAAGGAAAAGAGCCTGGCAAATTTTACTAACCAGGGTGAGAGGCTTCACTGCTGGCTGCTCTTCATACTAATCAGCACTCCCTTTGCATCCAAATTTCAGCTGTTCCTGTGTTCTACTCCAGGGTTTTTTCTCAGCTTCCTTCTGCCTTTTTGAATTTTACTTAAGGCAGGATGTTTCTTTGCTGTCTGTCTGAGTCGTGGCTCCAGATACAGATAGGAGAGAAAGAGATCATAGCTACATGCTGCTTGATGATATTAGACAAGTAGAAGCAAAATCTTAGGAGTGCAAGGTCAGATTTTCTATCTTTGGGCATCCTTCTCTTGGTTTCTTGGGCAACCCATAAGAATGAAACTATGTACCTAGAGCGTGGACCCAGCATCTGATGTCTGACCTTTGGGATGCTATTGACAAGTTCTGGTTTACTAAATTTGAAATGACCACCATAAAAACCTTGACTTTTCAAAACTGTTATTGTAATGTTCCATCTTTTTGTTTGTTTTTCCTGTAATATTTACTGGTGGTAGTTACAGGCTGGGAAGACACAAACTAATTATCTCCCAGCTCTACAAATCCATATATAACCAGAATTCACTGATGTTTTTTTCTAGTTGTAGAATGACTTCATGTGTTATTTTTTTAATTGTTTTTCAGACAGCAATTTGCTGTGTGGCTCAGCCCAGCATCTCTCTTGGGATCCTCTTGCTGCTTCACTAGAACTAGTGTTACAGTCATGCACCACCATGCCCAGCTATTCATATGCCCTCCCTGGCTCTTTTTCAAATGCATGGCCTCTTTTTTCATTAATCATTGATACATTTATTCCTAAATATAACCTGTTCAGTCTTATAATGCTATTTGTATGTATATTTTCAGGGATGACAATTTGGTATTGGATAACCAATTGGTGTACTTTTCTCTGGGGAAGACTATCTCTCCCACTCTCAGCATTTTCTGGTTGTCTGTAGTTCTTTGTGTAGGGCTGAGGTCTTGTGGGCTTTCCCTAGTCCACTTTGGTGTGTCTGTTGTTGTCCTTCCTCAGCTCATGTTTAGGCAGTCACGTTGGTGAGACTTTATGGGTGTAGTTTCTAAGATGACTAGGAGAGTCTTACCACAACTCTCTGAGCCTCTGGCTTTTATAATCTTTCCACCCCCTTCTTCTGCAATGGTCCCCGAGCCTTAGGTGTGGGAGTGTTTTGTAGATGCATCCACTGGGACTGAGTGTCTCTACTCTTCAGTTTGATTGATTGTGTTTTTCTGTAATGGTCTCCATCTAGTACAGTGAGAAATTTCCTTGATGAGGAGTGAGAAGTGCACTTAACTTTATTTTCTATGATTTTATGGTTAAGAGAACATTAGGAAATTCAAAATTTAGCAGTAAATTTGTGATTGAAAATACATTTCCTTTTTGTAATTTCTTTTATTTTTTGGATACAAAATAATTATATTAATCCCCCCTTCCCCTCCTAAGTCTCTGATACACCCCTCCTTTCTCTCTTTCAAACTCATTCTCTCTGTCTCTGTCTCTCTCTGTCTCTCTCTCTCTCTCTGTCTCTCTCTCTCTCTCTCTTTCTCTCTTAGTGGGTTATAGCACTAACTGGCTTTTAACTGGCTCCTTTCCATTAATCAAGATTGTAACTCATTTGCCAATTTTAACAAATCCTAGGTACATTAAGTTGTGTGTCTTGGGAAGGAGAAGGACAGGTTCCTGGAGCTCAGTGCTGTTGGCACAGCTCCCCACCTTATTCATGGTTTGGCATAGTTGCCATTCTCACCTTAGTCATACCTTTTTCAGACTGTAGTTGTCCAGAGAACCCTACACAGCCTTCTTTTACTTTCCTCCTTAGTATTTCCTCATTTCTTCAAAACCACTGTTCAGAATCTGAGAGAAGGGGCCTGGGGATGAAGCATTAAGTCAATTCATTTATCTTTCCTTCAGATATTTGTGCAATGTAAGGACTTCTTTATCAAGACCAGTAGACATGGTTAGGGAAATGGACTTTTAAAGGTCTAATGTGCCTCTGTAGAGAGGTTAGACTTTCTTTAATATTTCTTGAAATGTGACCTGAATATGATATTCTAGCTGTTGAATTTCAACTTTCTTTAATACTCAGGTTTTTCCCTTCTGATTTTCTAGGGTTAAAAATCTTTAGGTCTTAATTTTTTCTCCCTTCATTCCTTATGCTCTGTCAATATTAAAATACTGGTTTTTCTTCCTCCATCCTTGCTACCTAAGCAAAATCTTGTACATCCCTAACTTGTTTTGCTTGTTCAGCATGTTCTGTTGGCTCCTCCTTTGACTGCTGCAGTGGGACTTGCATGGACTTTGTTTGGCACTGTTGTTGGCCAGAATGTTTATGCTGATCCAAATTGCCTGGAAATATTTTCATTTTTGTTACTTGAGTGTGTGAAGATTGACCCTTCTGTTGCTGGGGTATTCTCTTCAATTTCAAGCCTATATCTAAGGAATGATATATGTCACCTGTAGTGTGGGCTTGCTAAGACTAACATTTCTCCAAAGCTCAATTCACACATCGTGGATGCCTTTCCAGGTGCGCTCGCTCTTTTCTGTCTCTCTGAGAAGTCTTCAGAAGTCTGCAGCCCTTGCGTAGTGTATGCATCTTCATGTTTTAAGGATGCTGCTGTTTGGCTCTTGCACTGCCTTTTAGCACAGCTTTTCAAGGCAATTACAAAGCCTGGCAACTTCCTAATTTTCAAGTGGCATGACTCAATAAAGCTTCACTCCATTTTTATGTCTTATAGAGTCTCCCATTAGGATATCAGTATCAACAGAAGGCGCAAATACTTCCTCATGTAAGTATATATACTTCTGCTTATTAGTTATTAACCCAAGGTGGCAACTTCTTCCATTGAGCATGTTCATATGTGTTCTCCTTTTTTCTCCTTTATTGAGGTGTGGTGTACTGAGTTCGGACAGAATGGAGGCTTGTGTTTGGAGCAGAAATGGTCTCCTACTGTGTTTTAGATTAACCAGAGATACCCTCCCAGGGAAATTTACCTAAGAGTATACCATGACACCACGTGCATTCATGTTGGTGTTAGGGTAATCTGTTGCCCTTGAACATTGGAAAATAATTGCATAGCATCTGAGGCCTAGTTTGGGGTAGGTGCTCAGTGGGCTTATTCTCAGCTTGTCTTGACACCTTCAGCAACTGCCAAAGGCACCATACCTAGCTGTTTGGGATTTTTATTCCAAAGTTCCTCCATTTCATATTACAGTCTGCTGTGACAGAGTGAGGAAACTATATATAGATGCCCTTAATTCAAGTTTGATAGCTAGTGAGTAATTATGAAAATGTTTGAAGGCACATCCCTAAGCAAGATCCCAGATGAGTTTCCCCTGTTTAATGTGAAATGGGCTGTGTGCTGACGGGCTTCTTCCAACTGCTGGATGATTGGCACTGTGTGTGACATCCAGAGAGCTTCAAAAATTAGCAAGGATTAGTAAAACTATCTTCTGATGTTTACTAATTGAATAAATTTTGATTTAAAACGGGGCATATTAAATATTGACAATAAAACAGAGCTATTCATTCTTCTTCTTAATTTAGGTCTTAATATAAAGCATTTCTGGGATGAGCTCTTTAATAAATACATGCCTATGTTCCTCTCCCAATCTACAAAATATGTTAAAGAGACAATATCTTTTTTTACTTAGCAGTAGGGGTGAAAACCCTAGGCAGTTGGCAGTTCTTATAACTTATCTTGTTCCATCAATCTGTTTTCATAGACGGCATTTGGTGGTAAAGCTTTCTCTCTGGGTTGGCAGAACACAAGCTGTAACTATTTGGTATGAAGCATGTTATTTACTAGGAGTGTAGCTTCACTGTAGGCTGTGGGTGGATCCCTAGGTTTCACACCCTGTATGGGAAAGAAATAAAATGAGAGAAAAAAAATCTATCATTCCCCGAGTTAGTGTTTTAACACGTTTGATAGCAGCAATCTAAGAATATCAAACAGAAAATGAAATTGTAGGAGAGCTACCAGGCTTCCTCAGGCCGCTTGTTACATATTCAAATGATAATTGCTGCTGGCATGTTTGCGATATTGGTTGTTTAGTTCTACTTACGGAAATGTTAGGGCAAATGTATGGAATTTACAAGACTAACACTAAGGAGTCATATTGAGCTTTACTTTTAAATAAATAGTACACAAAAGAAAAAAAACTAGATTTTTTCTTTTTGGCATATTTTTCTGAAAATGATTTTTCTCTATATGATACATTTGAATGACACCATTGAAAATCTTGGGACTGGAGCTCTTCATACTGTCATGGTGAATGTTTTCCTTAAGCACTTGTAAGTGCTTCTGGAATGGAAGAGTTACTTACACTTCGGTTGTCTGGGAATTTATTCAGGGAACTGAAATGAATCTCCCAGTTTACATTTCAGGGTTCATTACAGTGCTGGGGAGAGAGAAATAAGTTTGGAATCTGACTCCATTTCTTTAATCTCTCAGCAGTGTTACTTCCAAGTGTTTAGTAATGGTTTAGGAGGAAGAAAGGCTATATTTGTATGTCCTTTTCCTACATCACTCTCTGTTCTTGGTAGGCCATTATTGTTGAACTAATTAGCTAATGCCTTTTTAATCTTATAAAAATAGGCTCAATAATTTGAACATATAAACCAAGTGCAGGATTCTAGGCCTGCTTAGAACAGTGCATGGAGTGTGTGTGTGTGGGGGGGCATATCAGGCTCATTTCAAGGCAGTACTAGTCAATTGGATTTGAAAGTTCACATTAGATTTTTTTTTTAATAGTAAATAACAATGGGAAGCCGGACATTAGTCGCATACTCCTTTAATCCCAGCACTCGGGAGGCAGAGGCAGGTGGATCTCTGTGAGTTGAGGCCAGCCTGGTCTCCAGAGCGAGTGCCAGGATAGGCTCCAAAGCTACACAGAGAAACCCTGTCTTGAAAAACGGAAAAACAAACAAACAAACAACAAATCAAAGCAAACAAACAAATAAAAACTATGGGAAAGTTCACATGGGTCAGAAATAATCTTCCTGAAGAATACATCCACTCTCATTTCATTTCAGCCGGCAGGGTGACATTAGTAAATCCCTGAGGTTGAAAAATGAACTTTGCTTTCAATCTAAACCATGCCTATGTGGACTCCATTTTTGAAGAGTTGACACTGATTCTTTCTAAGGTAAAATCTGGAAAGGCTTGTCCAGCAAGCATTTTTTAATTTTTTTCTCTTTCCTTTTTTTAATTTAAATTAGAAACAAGCTTCATTTACATGTCAATAGCAGTTCCCTCACCTTCCCCTTCTCCCCTGCCCCCTACCAATCTCCATCCCATCCCTTTCAAGCATTTTGTATATTAGGACAGTTCCATGTGATTTGGGGGGTTAGTATCAAAAGGAAAAGGCAACCTAGTTCCCTTTCACGTTCTGTCTATGCACATGGACGCTCTTGCAGAAGAGATACACTAGGGCTGTTGTGTGCAGGTATGTGCATGTGTGGGTGCCTTTGTGTGGGGGTGGGTGCACTTGTTTGTATATGTGGGTGCATATGGATTTGTGTTTTATTATTTAGGAGTTGTCTACCTTCATTTCTGAGATGGGGTCTTTTACTGGCCTGAAATTTTTACAGATATATTAGGCTGACTGCCCAGGAGCCCTGAGATCCACTTGTCTCTCCCTCCACTGTTCTGTGATTAAGAGTATACCACCACTTCCAGATAGAACTCAGGGTGCTCACATTTTCGTGGCATAAACTTTGTTGACTGAACTGTCTCCCTAGTCTATGTTGGTTTATATTCTTGTCCATCCTCAGAACCTGCCTGGGTTGCTGTCTGTTTGTCTCCTGGATATTGCCTGTCCTGGATGCCTTCTCTAAGTATCCAAGAGTCAGAGTGGTCCTTGCTTCTGTAATTCAGAATGGATTATGGAAAAAAAGAAGTAGCAGATTAAAGCTGTCTAGTTCGTTATGGAAGTAATAGCATTGGTGTTACTTTCTTCACTGGCATAGTACACTTTCTTCTGGTCCATGCTTCTCATTCTGCCTGTGTACTTACCTGCCATCCCTCTATTCATTCAACACACTTCACACACGGTTCTCATAATAGCCAGACAGGCACAGTTTGGATTTTTCCTAACAGGAAATATCAAACCTAGGGTCTTACTGTACAATCTCTATCCCAGTCCTCTAGAAACATACATTTTTGAAACTATAACAATTAAGAAATAACTCTTGACTAAAGATTTGAAGGGTTTTACTTTTCTTCTACATATTCCTGTCTGTTTCCCCTACTCTTTTATTTTTCATAGATTATCAAAAATATGAGTGACATACCAAAGATACTGTTTCTTCTTGTTGTAAGGCATTTTCTTTTAACTATTCCCCTTTGTGAAACAGGGGCCATACACTGTAGGCTTGCTATATTTAGATTTCTTTCATATTCTGATCTTTTCTTAGAATTGTTATGCTATTAAAGAGCCTAATCCATTTAAATTCATTTATTTTATACAAACAAGGCTCATGTAACTAAGAGAGCTATAGGTAGATGGCTCAATAAGTGTCCTATTCTGTATAGTGACGGATTTTCCAAGAGCAGCTTGAACCTTGCTCTGTAGTCAGTAGAACTAGCTTGCTCCCTCTTAAATAGACTCAGCAAAAACGTAAATGGATTGTTTAGAGCAATCTTAATGACTACTCGGAAGTGCCAGCTGTCATTGACCCCATTTTTCAGACAATTCTCTAAATGATATAAAAAGTGTAATTCTCACGACAAAGACTATCTTGATTTAAGCTTTGCCAATTCCAATTTAGTGCATGAGATAAACAACAATGAGAAAGCTCATAAGAAAGAAAATAAATAGGTGCTCCTGGTAAACAGTGTTCAATAGCATTATGTGTTTCAAGTAATAGTAGTAGCATTGTTATCAGTTACTATTAGCTTTACTGTGTGCTAGTTAATGTGCCCTCCTGTTGTATGTGGCAGTTCATGGTGCTTCTAAGGCCTCTTCTACTTTACAAGTGTTGTTCAAAGCTACACCAGAAGGATTCAAACCCAGACAACATACAACCCTGCCTGAGGTTTTGGATGCCTCAAAACAGAAGCCTTTCCTATTTAATGGAATGAGACTCTACAATTGGATTGGGAAGTAGCCTTTAATACAGAGTCCATATGTGGTAGATGATGTCAAATTGAGTTGCCTTAGCCTAGTTGAGTTTTTACAGTCATAATAATGCACTCAAAGTGTGGCAGGTGAGCAAGAGGGAAAGGAAGTACTTCTTATGGCTATTTGCTCCCAGTCCAAGTACTAGTCTGTGCTTATAGTATGACCTCAGCAGGTTGCCTACCTCCTTGAGACTCACTCCCTTTCTCTGTGTGTTACATGTGTGGGAAGCATAATGAGAGAAAGCAGATGTAAATGGTTCTGCACAGCTGTGCTTATGGGTGGTCACTTGGACATGTAGAAGAGCACTAGACTGAAGAATGGATGTAGCTCTGAAGGGAGGAGGAAAACCAGGGAGTCCTTGCATTTTCTTTGAATCAAGTTGGGAGAAATTGTATCCTTCCAGTTGGGGAAGGAAATGAGTTCGTGCTTTTCAGCCTCAACAGTGATGCTGAAGGTCCTTTGCCAGGAACTCCCTGCCATTCCAACAGATTATGTATTCTCAGCAAAGTGCGTTTTAAAGGAATATGTCCAGGAAGTCCTCTTTGAAGTCTCTGAAAGTAATGAACAATTCAGTCTTAGATTTGGCGGCTACATGAGCTAGCTGAATGGCGGGGGGTGGGGGGGGTGGGGGTTGTCTTCTGTCTTTATCTTAATGAACTACAGC